AGCCTGTGTGTGTGTATAAAAAAAGAGTGAAAAAAACAATAAAGTAAAATAAAATAAATAAAGTATATCTTCTTCTTCTTAGACCACTATGCTCCCAGTTGTAAGTGTTGCAGCCAAGTTACCTGATAGTTACTAGGTAATTCAGGGGTAGGACCAGGGAAATAGAAAAATTAGGTCAAATGAAAAAGGAATGGAGAAAATCTGCCAAAATGTGATGATTTAGGTGTGTCCTGCTAAAGGGGGTGAATCCTTATTTTTAATTTTATATATTGTTCACTTTGACATTAAATTGTATTTTTATTTTAATCCTCCACAAATCCACATTAAATTGAATTAGAAAAATAATTTGGATATCTTAATTTTGGTAACTGACTGTGGGTTTATTGCCAGTGTGTGTGCCAACAACAAAACTACATGAACTACCAAGACATATTTAGAGGAGACCAACCGCTAAATGTAATGAAGAGTATCAAAACACAACATTGACATATCTTCACCTTTTCAGTTGATATGGTGAACTTATTAGCAAACAATAACGTATTTAAATGGACCTGTACTTGTATTCTTTTTAGAATTACTTCTAGTCTTCTGACCACTTAAAGCACTTTTACACTACATGCCACATTCACCCTTTCACACACATTCACACAGCAAAGGCAAAGTCCATCGAACAGAAACTAATGCATTCATACAAATTCACACACCGATGCACGGCATCAGGGTTCAGTATCTTGCTCAAGGATACTTTGACATGTGGCACCAGGAGCCGGGGATCTCCTGACCAGTACCCAAATCTAGGAACTCAAAAGCAGAACCTGTCACATTATGTTTTGTTAAGTTCCCGCAGTAGAAAAGGCTTAGAAGTACCCATGTTGAAACAAAAAAAAGAATTAGTCATGTATAATCAGGACAGGAAATAAAGTTCACCGGATCACACAAGGCAGGTGTTTGATACTCAAAACATGTTCTTATCTAACTTGAATACATCCTCTTTCTTTTCTTTAGTCTTTGTTTTTATCCCTGTACCATTTCTAGACTGATATGTTTTCTTCATCTACCTCACAACAGAGATGTTAGATAAGTTCTCTTTGTTTACTATGAGCAAATAATTGATTGGAACCTTTGCTGTAACCTCAGGCTTTGGCTTAGCTGTAGAGTTTTTCATTGGCTCCTCTCTCCTATTGTTAAGCTGCTGATTGGGAGGCAGTATGATATCATAGGATGTGCTGACAGTTTTCTTTCCTATTTATAACCCCCCCATATAAAATTCAGAACACGTTTCCCTCTGCTTGTCTGGCAAAGCAGAAACTACTACACTCCGTTTCTCTTCACTAGCACTCTCAGTGCTAATTTCTTTGATGAGCATCAGCACAATTATTTTCCTGAGGTTTCTCTTTCTACTCCTTCTCAGTGTGCACCAAACCTCACTAGACACTTCACACATTTCTCTTTCAGTTTATTCTGGTCTTTTTTTGTTCCACTGTTATTTTCAGGCATGAGTCTGCATTTAGATTGCCAACCAAATTTGTTCTCTTCTCAGAGATGACCTGCCTGTTGCTGGAAAGATTTTAGCTGTCTTGTTTGGCGTATGTGGCTTGACAGCTGCACAAACAACATGCAAACAAGTGTCGTTTACCTCTGCAGGGAGATCGTATGTGACTAGAAGGCCTGGGTTACCAGTGTTACAATGTGGTTACTCACTCTTGAATGCCAGGTGGACAGTCAGTGCAGCATGTCATTTCACACTTTTTCCTTGGTGTTAACACAGGATGTCTGTCTTAAAATGTCTTCAATAGGATTTCGACTAGGGTTGTGTATTGGCACAAATCTGGCGATACGATACGTATCACAATAGAAGGGTTACGATTCAGCATACTGCGATATGTGGCAATACTGTAAACAAGGCGTTATATATAAAATCTAATTTTAGGTAACCACCATATGCATAAAATCATCATCGTCCATCAACATGTATAAAGATGGACGGCATGACAGCTCTCCAAAAAGTGAAACCAAAACAGTATAGGTCATAAAGCCCGCTGCATCCATGTTAGCTGATGGGACATGGGCCAAACCAAAAAATTTGATTACATGTCAAATAAGTAGTTTCTGTCCCTCTGATGTATGATCTAGTGTTCACTTTGGTTTTAATTACTTATTTGAAGCTATATAAAGGGGGCTTCATGTCAGGAATGACAGTTGAGTCCTTCTCGTTATTAAGTCGGCCATGCACATGGGCAGGACTTCAGGACCTTTTTTTCTTCCTTTTTTGATACAGTGGTGGCAAGCGGAGATGTGATGTCCATCTTTTAAATGTCGATGGTTTAAACACAAAAAACGATTTTTGATCGTCGATACAAAATCACAAAACAAAATATCACGATACTCAAGTGTATCAATATTTTTTTACACCCCCTAGTAAGTTTGATGATTCTAAAACCCTGCGTACAGCAATGCTGGTGAGGTACTCCTAAACGCAAAAAAAAGAAAACGGCACTGAAAATGTTCTTGTTAAAATAGATCAATACCAAAAGAAGTAGGGTTAGGGTTATTTTGTGTTTAGGGTTAGGGTTGAACTTAATAGTTAACAAAGACTTAACTTATTTTTAGGTGATAATACTCTCAATGAAAACATACCTACCTCTATTTCTGACAATAGATCCTTCTAAATGTTACACACTGACCCTTTAAAAATTGATTGGGTTAATGAAGCTAACTTTACTTGTATAAAGTTGCATTTTTCAGTCTCGCTTTTAAATGGGTTTTTTGGGAGAACTTGTATTGATCATGCCGTAACAACTATAAAACAAAACAGGTTTTCAGTTGCATTCATAATGGTCCTGTAAAGTCTTAGATTTAGCCTGTGCAAACGTTCAGAAACCTGCTTTTATGATAAATAAAGACTAAATGAAGTTCAGCTAAGCTCTCAGTTGTGTCACTTTCCCTCTCAGTATATCTCCCTTACAGTCAGAAGTGATCGATGCTACTTCATATTGCAGTGCTTTCTCATTCATCAACATGCTCACGTCATCTACTGGCATTTGAAGTCAGTTAAAGGGGAATGCTGCTGCTCTGGTTAGCTCTGTGACTGAAAACGTATGCCGTTCAATGAAAACGTGGCTGTAGAAAGTGAATAAATAACTCACAACAGCTCCCACCAAAGGGCAGCTAATTATAGATGTAAATGATGAGTTTACTGAATTAAAACCCTATTTTGTTAATTATTTTTAAAGTAATTTTTAATAACTAATATTTGTGTAACATACTACTTTGCATTGCCATATTGGCACCTAATCACAGTGCTGTATTTTAATTTGGGGCTGGCTTAAGTAGGTTGATTCCATTAGGCACAAGCAAAGAAACCGTATACAATCAGACTGTTTACTCAGTGCAGGAAAAAGTGTAAGAGGTGTGACTTGGACTCCACCAGTTATGAATCTGAGTTTGTTTAAAAGTGCTTAATAGGAAATAAACTATATTATATATATATAATATTTCTTAATATTCAATGTATAAAAATAACGGTAAAGAACAACTGATACAACTGTACAATGAACCCAAACAGTGAACATAATAACTGCAGGAAGT